TTATTTGATAATACTAAAATTATCCTCTTTTAATATATTTAAACAATATTTCATCTAGATCCTAAGAATAAAATAATAAGACCAAGCTGCTTGTATTTCCACAAAGTAGTAAGCACATGAGAAATGTTTATGATAAAAGTGGGTGGATGCTCAGTATAATGGCAGCGGTTAAATAGAGCGTAATCCGAACACGCATTTTAATGATATCAAGATGACACAAATAAGGTGACATTTGGATTATTTCCGATTACTGCATTCCCGGAAATAACGACAAAGAGTGTATACAGCGAACCATGTAACAGGAAACTAATAGATTTCACCTCTTTTACATAGGTATGGCTTTATATCTGAGAGAGTTGCTACGGTACATACTCGTAAATTTTATTTTGCTTTTCAACAGTCCGAAAGTGAGCTGTTCGCTGAACTACAATAACCCACGAAATTCATGAAATGACACTATTGTTCCAAGTTTTCTTGAAACACAGGCTTCCTTAGTACAATTTAAATTCGAACAATGTCACTTTATTAATTTGTTTATTCTTAAAGACAGAGCTCTGTAAATAGTTTATCGAAACACTTCGTAGTGAATGTAATCAATTTTCTGGCTTCGTATCGTGAGATAAAATTTGTCTTCAATTGATGTTTACGATTGTGTAATTATTGTTAGCAATACGCACGTCCGTGTAATAATATGATATTATTTTTCTAAACAAAATTTTGGAATGCAACTAAGAAGAAGATAAAAATAATAAAAGAAAACTTGTGACATGCAATGGGACTTTTTGAAGTGGATACTATATAAATATAATTTATACAGTTAAATGATGGTTCGTTAAATTTCCCTGGAATTGATCTTATGTAATCAAGCTTCCGTCTTCATAGTTCTTCGAATATTTCAAACATGGGAATAAAAGAGAGTGAGAAAGAGAGAATTAAGATCTCCCCTAGACGAAGTATTACAAATAAAGAAAATTTGTTACTTACATTTGTTATACAGTGAGCGCATCCCGTATAATTTTCGAAGGCGGACGTATTTTGAATGTAGCAGTTTATTTCGACTATACAATTGAGGTTCTAGAAACCAGAATCTATTCCTAGTCTACCCTAGAATGAAGGAGAGAGTGCGAAAGCGCGACTATGCCAAACTGCACAGTGGAAATAGATTAGTATAAATGCTCGACTCCAATATTCTTCTGTTCGTAGATTTTTATTGATTTATCTGGTTACATCAAAATATTTTTTTTTTCTGACAACTCGACAATTCAGTCTACTCCTACCATGTCTACTATATGCCAATATAAAAGATACTTTCATTTGAAAATTAAGCAAGTTTGCACTGTTCGATGATATCATTCCAGTGAAGCATGAATTGCCCATTAATTGCAGTTATTCGGGACTATCTCACTAATTAATGGAATATAATAGATAGACGCTAGAAAACAAGATGAAATTTCTGCAAGCACGGTGGCTCGTGCAATTATCGAGGTAACTAATCCAATAAGAACGAGCCCCACTTACGCAATGCGTCTTCGTTACCTGTGACCTATGCTTGATCTCTCCTGTAATCGTAAGTCTATTACCAACGATTTGCATCTATTTTAAACAGACACTTGTTGCTAAGTGGTCGTTCCTCCTACTTGTTGACACGGACAAACGATGCTCGTAAATATCAAGATTGAATTTATTAATCTTCTATTTTTATAGAAGTTCTCTGGAAATATATCTAAGAATAGTAAGTACTCGTAAGAGAATCTTATACTATACGCTATAAACCGGATAAGAGATCACGAAGACAATATAATTTATTTTTATTTTTATAGTATGCAATAAATAATAAGTTAAGATAATTAATTCTTTTAAGATAAGTAATTTTGTTAGTCTGCCTATTTAATAAAATCATATTCGATTGTTATAAATGAAAAGTTGAAGTAGATTGTATTACGACTCGAAAAAAGAGTGGACACTCTTAAAAGGGAAAAATTGGTAGGATTAGAAAAATTTCAATGATCGCTGACATTTTCTTACGTTTAACTTGGCAACAATAGTAGCCAATTGTTCCCGATTTTAATCTTTAAACTGCTATTAGCGTTTATTGAAGCTCAACAAAATCGCTCACGGTAATGCTATTGCCGCCTATAGGCGCTCAAGAGATTAGGACACCGCATGCGGTGGACACCTCCAGACGTTCAACGAATGTATCTACAGTGTGAGACAAAACAATAGCCAACGTTCATGTTTATATCTAAATATACACGCAAGATTTTATTATGTATCTTGTGCACCCTATATTCACCTGCGTGGTCTCCTGAATTAAATATTCTTAAAAATGTTAGGCTTATTTGCTTAGAAATGTTTATTCACTTTTAAATAGTGAAAGAGTTGTGAGTGGTATAATTTACAGCGAAAAATAATTTTAAATACTCTATAAGCCGATACCGAAACTTGTAATTAAAGTTTTTAAAAGAAACGTAGAATTGTGTTATATGTATGTGTAAAATATGTTAATACCAATACAATATTATGTAAAATGACGAAAACTTTGACCCTTTGACATTTCACTCTGAATGCACTGATAACGGAGTTGTGACTTATCGCATTTACTTGGCCCACCCTGTATATTCGGCGCCTGAAAAAGTCTTCCGCACAGCATTAGCTACTGCTGCAAGCTAGAAATTCGTCGTACACAACTTGCTGTGCATCGAAGTCTCCCGTAAGCAAAGAGTTAATTTCATGCAGCATGCAATACCACTTATTAATTTAATTCGTATTCATTTCTATAACTATCATAAGAGAACAAAAATTATTACATTAAGGAGATTTTATTATTTTTTACATTGTAATAAGTAGACGAAAGGATTTTACGCATTAATGGTGTCACCTAACCCAAAATTTGTAAAAGTTTTATCAAGTAAGATTTTCTGGTAAAAAGATATGAAATCATTGTTTGATAATACTAAAATATTTCCTTTTAGAACATATATATATATATATATGTATAATCTTTTATCTAGATTCTGAGAATGAAATTAACTGGATTGATTCTCATCCATATCATTGAAAAAAAAAATAGTATACTGAAAATTGAACATTTTAGAAACAATTAAAAAATCGATTTTAAAATCATCGTATCAATTTAATAATTTGCATTTTTCTGTATATTCATAATATATGTTCATGTATATTAGATATAATTCATGCAAAGAACGTGTTCCACGAAGAAAACAAAAAACTAGTGGCCATGGCCAAGGTTCTAATAAATATTCAATACAACATTCTGCTATAACGCGGAACACAGTAGCCAAAGACAGGGCTATAGAACGGCGTAGTTAGCAGTATGAATAAACTTTCACGCCTACTTCCTAATTCACCCCTTTGTACTTTCAACGGCAACCCCAATACTTCACTTACAATCATCTGATAAGTACTAGTACAAAGTACGCCAATATAACATGACGCGTTGTAATACTTCAGGCGAATTTTACAGGAATATAAATATATATGTTCATTAATCGAGTAAACATAAAAATCAAAAAACAGAATGACTCTTCGAGTGAAAATTAAATGAAATCTTAGGATTAATTTTATGCGTGAAATATCTATAGAAATATTAAAATTCTAACAAGGATAATGTGAGAAAATATAAATAAATCTTGTACTTTTTTAACTGAGAATACTTCCTAATATAGTATTTTTAAGCGTAAATTTTTGATACTCAAGTCAAAGTGACGTTTTCTTTCAACCAAACAGATGTTTATCTTATTTAATCAAATAAATGTTCAATGTATTTAATATTATAGGCTACCAGTTGTGGGTTTTATCAGATCGTATCTTCGAACTTATTTGAAACGCAGATTTTGATTTATTATCAATATAATTGAACTGTTTCGAATAAGTTTTTTAATGCCAACATCGCAGTATATTCATTAGACGCGTTTATTCTACTTTTAATATATTTTATTAATATATTTAATATATTTAATTTATTCTACTTATAAACATACTTGACCGTTTTAAGTACACTACTATTTCTTTGTCTATTTTTTGAAATAAAAGTTTCGTTTAAATACAACTCATCACACATGGAAGAATACAAACACTTTTTGAAGTATTAAAATTACATTATAATTTGAATCATGAATTAAATTTTAATTGGGTTGTACAATATATATCATACTACTATTAAATCGAGTTTGTTCCTATGTAATCTTGTTTTTTAGAATTCCGTTCACATATGCAATAAATACATTTAATATTAATGTCTTTTCACAAAAAAAAACTAATTTTCTATTATACCAAATTGTACTTTAAAGTCAATGTTTGCGAAACCCCGCCCAAAAGTCAAATATCAATACGAGTGCAACATAAATTATACGAAATCTATAAAAATGAATATAAAACTTCGTAACGTAGAAAATTCTTATAGAAAAATCGCGACGAAAACACGAGACGATATGCTTAAAAAACATATACCCTCCAAATGAATGTTTCAGAACCAACATTTAATGAATCACGATTATACGTGATTCCTTATATAAATCTACGCTACGCAATGCATAATAACAAGAACCAGAGAATGATTTATAAACACTGTACGAATGTTAACAGTATAGCATAAAACAGTATAAGGAATGTCACGAGCTGACGTCCAGAGATGAGCAAAATTTCTTTTCAATTAATAGCAAACAAATAAAACCAACGCACGGTAATTTATTCATAACAAGAATGTAATGGATCGATTAACATTCGTTCGTTGTGAAGTATCCAAAGACAAAGTGAAATTACCAAACTGTACCAAGCAAGGGCGAAAGGACGAGGTTCAACGAATAAGGGCTGTTTTCCAACCTAACTCAAAATTTCATTTTACATTCTACATTCAATCCAAGCTCTAATTGTTATCCAATCAGTAAGAAATACCTATTTTTGTACATGGATAATTTGTACATAGACAAGAATTCTGCCCATCTTCGATCAACGCGCGAATAATGAAAGAAGAAACTCACCTTTTGAGTAATGCATTGGAGAACGGTACCACATGTTTGTCCGCATAAAACGAGTAACAGTGCACCACGAAGATACACCTCGATGATGCACCCACCCTTGGTCACATGTCCTAATCCTTCACGTCGGGCACCATCTATGCACGAGATTATTCAGTCCCGATCGAGCGGTTCGCGTTGTAGACGGTTGGCCTAGCCCGTCGCTTCTGTCCTCTCGCTACTATATCATACTCTACCTCTTTTTACCTCCTCTTCCGCCTCCACCTTCTCGTCCTCCTAGCCTCTACCACCTCTGGGTGTGCGCAGTTCCTTTCCCTTCCGTGGACGCTGCGCGTGGAACGCAAACCACCCCCAACGTCAGCACCCTGAACTTTGTCGGTATTACACATACTGAGGTAACAAGGGGAAAATCTATAAGAGCCGCGACTGCGCCCTCGCCACGGCGTGGGGCGAATTTGCGCGGTTAAGCCTTCTTCAGCTTCGCGAGCTTAATCGCCGTACAAAGATGTTCTGTGCGGCTGCAGAAGATCCTTGCCCTTTGATCGGTTGGTTGCCAAAAAATAAACAACCTCCAAAATGGCTCGCGTAATGATGCTTCAGTGTCTAAAAGCCGGTGATGATTTTACTTTAGTCATTTTCAAACGAAAATAACAGCTTTGTTTATGAAAGTATACACTGTTGAGGATTCTGTGTTAAATTCGACACAAATTGCACACGATCCACCAATATTTTTGTGTTAATTTAACATATCATACTTGTGTCAATGAAACAAGCTCTTTGTTGAACGGATTAACACAAATAGTCAGTAACTTTAACGTAATTGTTATCTTAATTACCTGTAGTATTTTATTTCGCGAAGTTGCATTTTTTTCAGTGTTACTTACGTCAATTTGCGCATCTGGCGCCCCTGTGTTCCACGCAAAACATCTGGCAATATTCTTTTGCTGTTCAATGGTATGCAATTAATCACTGTCCAAAAATCAACTATTTCAAAATGATATAACATCGATTCTTTTTTTTTTTTTTTGCATGTTTCAAAATACACCCACATGTCGTTGTAACGACTGTTTACCAGCCGACAGTTTTCGTGATTGTCAGCTATTATTAGTTTCATAAAAAAAATTTTAGATATCTTACTTTCAAAGTGGGGTAAGTAAAATCGTCACTGGCTCTCCGACTATTAAGGGTAGTTGAACTCTACTGTGATCAAACGTATACGTGTTAACACTCCGACATGGCTTGACTTACACATCTGTAACTCTTCCAATACGAATATAAATAACTTTGGAAATTGTTGATAATAATAATTATCAGACCTCTGTGGAACTGTTCAAGGAACGAACTTCTTCAAATATTTTATCACCTTCTAATAGTTATAAAATATTCAATAATGCATAATAAATTTAAATTAAGATAAAGTGAAATAAAATGAATACAATTTGATTGCAGATAACTTTATATATTAAATACAAAATAAAAAAAAAAAAACACGTTGTGGTTTAATCCTCCTTTGTAACAAAATTAAAGAAATGAATCCTATGATTCCCAATTCCTTTTAGACCTTTAACAATCTAAATTTTATCTAAATTTTATCACAATGGTTGCATTGTGGTATCCTGTATAACACCGCAGTGACTTTGTCTATCTCATTTCCGCTTAATCCCAATTCCTTATATTTCTCTATTATTACTTCAAACAACAAAAGATTTTCTTACGTTTTCTTCAATGTTTTTGTTCTACATTCAGCCAGGCATTTATTATCATATCGATGTGATGTTTCAAATTTAAGAATTGCTGAACATAAAAAGTTCAACAAAAAAGTCCGCAACAGCATATATCTATCTTTAAAAGACAACTCACAGTTAACGTTTTTATGTTATGGTTCGTAGTACCAAATCAATGTAAAATATACAAATCATTCTTTAAAGTAATCACTTGATCTCTTAAAAAAAAAAGACTCTTAAACTACTCAATAGTATCTACAAATGCTTCTAATAAACTTTAATTAAAAAGAGCAATTCAAATCTCCCGCTGGAAATTAGTGTCGCCAACTAGCGGTCAACATACCGAACTAATTTCGGAGTATGATCAGCGCCCCTATCGGAAAATTGCCCAAGTTTGTCCTCGAATTTTCACTACAAACTTGGACGTTTTGCCACCGATGGCGCCACCAAGAACTATTAATCATTTATTTTTTAATACGATTACTTGCTTTATAACACTACAATATATTACTTAATATGTCAAACAAATCATTTTTATGAATAGTTATTTAATGCAGCGACAATTTTAGACCCCTTTAGTTAGTCGCGCTATCTAATAGCAACGGCGGGAACCATTTTCACTACAATCTTGGGCATTTTGCCACCGATAGCGCCACTGTAAAACTAAGAAGTATAGTACACCAAGAACAACCAAGAGTAGCGCTTATGAAGAGCCGGTGTGGGTTATGAGGTTATGTCATTAACCTAATTCTTACATACAAAAGTACATTAACTCTGTTATACTATAGTTTATTTATATCTGTTTGTATATATTAAATCCTGTATTTTTCCCATAAGATCTAAATTATGTTACCAGTTCCCTTTTAGAAAATGTAGAACAAAGTGAATTTTAGGTTATGATTATCGCAAACTCGTTACCACTCTTATCCAGTAGTAATCTTATGATAAAAAATTAAGAAATGGGAAAAGTATATTCTACTTTGATGCGACCAATTCGCACATTTAACATAGTGCATCGTGCGCATGATGTTATTTCAAAAGAGAAACCAACAGCTGCACCACAATATCCTTCGACAGCTAAGCAAAAAGAACTTGTAGATAAGTGTGAGTTAACAAATCTAGTGTATTTCATTTGATTACAAAAATAAATATTACTATACAGAGCTATATCACTCTTGGAATAACATTGTTTTTAATTTTTGGGTTCTTTGTTTCAGTGGATCCGGATTTTATGAAAAAACATTATGAAAAGAATGCTCAATTAGACAGTCGCTTGAAAGAGGTTTATGTCACCTCCAATGATCCAAATGTATGTTCTCTTCTAACAAGGCTTCTATAAATTCATGATTTATATTATTGGCAGTAACTTGGTAGTGATAATGTTTACTTGTGAAAAAAAAAATAATTTTCCATATATCACCAGAATGAATCAGCAAAGCAGCCAGCCTCATCTAGGCCATTACCATTAGACAGAACTATCTCTCCTTCGTTTGAATTTGGATTCTATGAGTCTCGTGTGATTCCTGAGGGTAAATGTTCTCTAAGGCAGGCTTTGACTTTTCTTGGAGATCATAATAATAACCCTACTGAATATACCACAGAAAAAATAGCACTTGAGTATAAGTTAGATAAACAAGTAGTAGGTGAGTTTATGTCCAGAAAAATAGATATTGGTACATCAATGTCAAGGATAGTTATATATTAGATATTTATTAATGCTCTACTACTTTTGTTGCAGCGAATATTATTGAACATTTTAGTGTTCCTAGGATGGTTACAGCACAAAAAAATGAGGAAAAGAGCATACAAAAAAAGTAATCTGTAGTCATTGTATCCAAAAATAATATAAGTATTTAGATATTGTTGTGTAAATAATAACATGTTAAAGGTAATAAAAACTGTGTTTACTTCAATTTAATTAATCTTACCTCAAATGGCACAATGTGTAATAAACAGCGAATTAGAATAGCTTACAATTTATTTATGATAATTCTTTATTCCATTTCTCGTACAACATTAACAACACAATAAGGTAAGAAATACAGAGTCGCATTCAGACAAAAATAAAATGTATCGTTACGTCTTCTATGGCAGTTAGGAAATAATCCTCATTAATCTGACTGAAAGTTTGTTTTTCTTCAACACCCGATTTACTTTTCGATATAAATAAAGTTCTTCGTTCGAAAGCTCTGCACTTTTAGTTCTATACCTTTTCATTGCTAAAATACAATATTCGCTTATATCTACGCTTTTTTATACAATAAATTACGTGTATTTACAAAAAAAAAACATTACACATGAACATTCACATGGCTATGCACAATACCATTTTTTGTTCGTAGACATTCACTACACCTACGATTTTTTAATTTCTCTACCATTTCTATTTTTTTGTACCTAGTATTGGCAGTAACATAAAAAAATAATATATATTTATAAGTCTACATACAGTTTACGAAATAAATTCTTCTTTGTATAATTAAGTTAATAACGACATAACGTTTCATGTTACTCACTAAATTTTTACAAATTTCAATACCTTTCTTCCTCCTAATTAACTCCACGAATTTAGAGAATCTAAAACACGGAAGAACAATATGTATTATATATTTTTTATCTATAAAGAAAATTCATCCGGATTTTACTTACTGGATAAAACATGATAAATGACCGTAATAAACGCTAATAGATGGAACTTTTCGAAAGTGGAAGGCGCCGAGCGAGAATGGTCGAAAAGTAATCCTTCATCGACAGGACTCGGTTCCGGAATGGTTACAGTTTTCCTCATCATCCAGTCGAAAGCATTCATTCTCAATCTTTTTTTCAATTCTGGACCTACTTCCTCCCTGATACGCCGATAGTAATTGTTCAACCACCGTATCTGTATCGTGGGAAAAATTTCTTAACGATTAATATCAATGAAAAGTCTATTAACTATGAAATAGAAACATTTCTGTTTCCATTCCCTAGTGCATTTATTACTGAAAATTAACATTTCCAAGAAGCATTAGACCAAACATAATCTTATTCGAATTATATTTAATTACACGTAAAACGGAACATTTTAGAGTTCAACAAATGAGTTTTTGTATTAGATTGTGTTTGGACTCATTTTTATTCGGAAAGTCTCATCGATCTATTAAAATTGATAGTTTACATATAAGTGACTTCGATACGATAATTCTAATACAAGGCTTATTCTTTATTCTTCTCTTGCACTTACAATATTTTCTTTAATTCTGATGCAGAAAATCTTCATCCAGGTCTCTTTCAAGTGAATTTATCATTCGAAAGTGGGCCTCATGCAAATTCCTCTCAAGAAACCAAGAATAGACTTACGTGTGACGGATTCAACATGCTCGTGTCGATCAGCTTAGGCTCGTAAGGAACCAAGGTGACATCCCTGAATTTCAAAAACGGTTCCGTCCTTCTCTGGAAGATTATACAATTACATTAACACTGGCGTCGTCGAATCAATCGATATTAATTGAATTATTCGAATAATTATTTGAATTATTTTCACCGATTTGCCCGCTTCGATGACTTCAAGAATGTTCTCCAAGCGAACGCCGAAGTCTCCTTCTTTGTAGTATCCTGGCTCATTGGACAGGAAGTATCCTGGTTTTAGTTCCACAGGACCACACACTTTGTCCGATGATGGATCTTGCGCGTACGATACGCTGATGGGCGCTGGAAATGTGAACGTTATGATTATACGTCTATATTGTTAATTACTCAGGAATATCGTAGCTTTCTATTCCTTAACAAATTTTAAGAATCGGTTCAGTTGTTCCAGAGATTACTCGCTACATATACAATTTTTCCTCTTTATAATATTAGTAAAGGTATAGGTGTTAATTTTGATAATAATTGAATACTTTAACGGAACGATACAAACATTCATGGACGGACAAAAAGTGACCGATCCCTTAACAAATTTTAAGAATCGGTTCAGTTGTTCCAGAGATTACTCGCTACATATACAATTTTTCCTTTTTATAATATTAGTAAAGGTATAGGTGTTAATTTTGATAATAATTGAATACTTTAACGGAACGATACAAACATTCATGGACGGACAAAAAGTGACCGATCCCGTGACCAGTTCCGTGCAAGTAATCGTATCCGACGTTCCACAAAGGTGATCTTGCTAGGACATCCATATGGTTGGATTTCAGACCGCTGGGGAAAACCAACGATGACAATTGTATCGCACCGATTAGCACCCTCGTGTACGCCTTCTTCTGCTTCTCCGTTGGTGTTCCAAAATGAAGAGTTCTCGTTACATCGGTCGTCCCGTCTGTTGAGAAATAGTTATTGTTTAATAAATAACTGTAACTCTTCGTTGTATAAGATCATATTGGTTATTGGAGTTAGAAAATAATTATCACTCATTTATTCCTTTTTATAAGACACTCTTTATTTAGACCAGAGAGTTAGGAGCTGGGATGTTGCTCTCAAGAAGACTACGATCGAACCGAGTATTTCGACGTCAGTGAAAAAATGCAACGAAAATTATCGGTGCCCTCTTGTCTCAGAAAAAGGTCTGCTGACTTTCTCTTTCAGATCATAAACTAACTCCAAGAGACCTTTTCCGGTGTAGGTTTATTTTTGACCGTCAGGATTTTAGACTTCGAATCGCCAAGGGCTCGAAGTATCCAACAGATCAAGTACCCATTTTAAATAAGCAAGTCTACGACTCAAAGCTTAAAGCCGCGAAAATCTAAAATGAAGAAGCTGTTTACCTAGATACTGTCCCCCAGAATCCACCACCAAGGTAGACGTTTTCCCAATCTTGAGGTTCGTGAGATTATTAGGTTCGTAATGAGGGATCGCCGCGTGTGGACCGTATCCAGCAATGGTTGGAAAGGAGATGCCTTTATTGTTGTCCTGCTCGTAACGAAATTCGTTAGCCAAACGCGCAACCTGCATTTCGTCCCATCCTTCGGAATTCAGCTCGTATTGTTCCTCCATGTACGCTAGAAAATCGCACATCGCCGCTGCGTCACGAAGATGAGACCTTCTCATTCCCTCCGCCTCGACGTTGTTCTTTTGCGCTCGAAAGCTGAGCACTGGCGATGGTTTTGGCAAGCGTTTCTCCTGGGGGATCTGTAAGGGTGATTGTCTTAACCTTATGCCAGAATTTGTTATAGTTTCAATACATAAATACTGAGACTTTGGTAATCGAAGGAATTTTCTTTTCTTTGATATGAAGCGTAACTTCTTAGACGCGACAGCGAAATTTTATTAACTCTTCGCAGATATTTGGCTGATAATGCAGGTACTTGCAATAGAGGGATGAGTTGAAGGGATCAAGATAAGGTGGGGATAAAATTGCGTTTACTAATTTAATTAATTAATAATATTTATTCCTCAATGATTCGCGTGGAGCCGGAAGAGCCTTTGTCCGATATTCGAACGTAACACAACGAGTGCTCGAGGATAATTGTCCCTTCTGGGACGAGGGTGTGTGCATCGAGGAACATTGCAGGGAAAACTTTCTCCTAGTCAAGGCCAACGGAAATGGTACTTTATGACCCGGCGACCCTCTCGAATATTCGAAGACTCAAAATTCGAATGTTTAGCCGTGGGCCTGACCGTTCCGACTGCCTTAACGATTTTCAGGTGCACACTACGCGTTCCTTCTCCTGCTGAGGATCAAACAGCACCGACGTTTTTCTATCCATATCGTCGTTTGAAGTGAATTTAGCCGCTCGTTTCATAAAATATAACATAAAATATTGACTCTTAGCAGCGTATTTCCGCACATTTGTCATCGCGAGTCGCAATCACAATGTGGTATCCATTTGTTTCATTATTTCAGAAAAACCTCGCCTACATATGTGGTATCCATTTGTAACGAGCGAAGCACTGCTCCCTGATTTCTGGTGCCGCGGGCGTCCAGGCGTCCCGTAGCTCCGGCTATCATGCTGAGAAGAAAGTGAAATCATTCCCCACCAGTTGCAACCTCGGCCACGCGTACACGTAACCACTTAGCAGCGTTTCGTTCAATCTGTTTTGCCCTCCCCCCTCGCAGCATTCTAATGATGAGAATACATACTGTGCGTCGTTAGAAAGGGAACCGTCCGTGTTTGGACTATGTCTACGAAGGTGTGTCAGCCCGTCACGCGGCGATCAAGCTAAGCTCAACAAGCTCTACGGGGCAGGGTAACATGTTGGAGAAGATGTTTCTTCGTCTAGGATTATCCGCTCTAATGGTCGCGCGGTTGAACTCGATAAATTGGCACGCAACCGAGTTGACGTTGCTTAGATCAGTGTTTCTCAAACTCTATTCGTTACAGTGCTAAACAGTGTTACGTGGACAATCGTGATTAACAATCGGAAGAATCAAATAAATGAATTTTGCATAGTTTCGATGCACGAAAATAAAAATGTAGGCATGTGTATTAAATTGGTTGGAGATTGGAACCTTGGTCTGAATTATGATTTGTGAAAGGGAAACAAGAGCATGTTGCATAGAAATACTGTATGGGTGAATAATTCGAGTTCATACGTACAGAGTTGAATATTTCCATGGAAGCGCCTGGACTGTAACCGCACCTCGTTGGCAGCCACACAAGGTTCCAGGCTTGAGACATTGTTCGCAGATCGTACCAAATACTTGTATAATTGTGCCATCTAAACAACAATAAAAATTAATTTTCTTGGATCATTTTCTTAGGCCAGTGATTTAATTCTCACGAGAATGAAGTAGATATTATATATGTATTTATTTGGTCACTTACTTTACGCAGCTCTCGTGACTGCAAAAGTCCATTTTCAGGTGCTCGTCGACTGATCGCAGAAGTTTCTGTCGCGGCGCGTACAGGTGAATAGATCTATGCGTGATCACAGCGTACGCCCTTAAAACGGGCGTGTTTGGTAGATCGTATCCGCGAATGTTGAAGATCCACGCGATCTCGTCGAGAGCTGTGAGGACGAGGGCGTCTGCCCTCCAGACCTCCATTTCCATTCGTACCATCTGGACTTTCTCCTGCCAGGCTTTTCCAGAGTATTTGTCCTGGAGCGGATAAGCCGCGTGCGGATTGTAATTCGGTCGACCGACCTGCCAGATCAAGTCCACCAGGTTGTTATGGACAGGAACCAATCTTACGGACGAATTTGCTGAACACGAACGCTAGCGTTAATTTAGGGAAAATCTCTCTGGAAGGACGTGGGAGATGATTTGATTTCTAGTAGGGTCACTTAATGATTGATAAATCTATTAGCTAAAGAATCCTCCTGAAGAATCATTTGAACGACAGACATTAATTTCTTTGAAGCTCTGAATTGCTTAATTTGCGATGCAATAATAATGTTTACGCGATGTAAATATGAGAAATAGTATGAGAGTGTGTATAAATTGCAGCGTTTATTTATTTTGAAGGATTTAAGGCTTTTACGTCAAGTTTCATTACCTAATTCATATTCCCACGTTTCCCAGTCGACGGCAGATACGAGTGTTGGATCAGCGCCAATACGCACTCGTACTCGACTTTGAAACTCGTGTCTCAACCATTCTGTTATGGATGGAACCTATACAAAAGAATTTGTTTATTGAATGGAGCATAAGTGGTAAACTTCATTCAACACGAGTTGCGTAGTGTTGAAAGTATAACAAGTTATCTCCATTTTTGTTTGTTTACACGCTTACAACTTCTTATGTCAGGATACACAAGTAAACATAACAACATAAACAAGTGTCGTTGAAGTATTAACAAACATTATTTTGGATAAGGATACTATAAATATTATATAGTTCCTATTTCCTAAACAGAACCTCAATAAAATGTGTCATTAATGTTTGCAGTAGCGATGCACGGCAAAATAAAGTAATTAAAAAAAGAATTTATTTAAAATAAAGTGTTGCAACTGCAAACTAATGTTACACAATCTCAATCAGTAAATGAATATTCTTCATTTACACGTTCCATACAAAAAAGAGGAATTTTTACGTTTGTAATTAAATTAAAAAAGCGACCACTCAGAACGCCCCACTTCCCAGGCCTCTCGTACTGAGTACAAGAGGTGAACGATCATCGATGACTGAGAAATTGAACGAAGCCAACTTCTCGAGTCTTCCTCACGCTCAGGGAAAGGAGCTACGTCTCCTCATCGTGGCTGCATCAACTCTGCTTTTGAGGACAGAGCTAGTTAGATCTACTACAGAAATGATCCTGTGAAGTATGATCTTAACTTTTCTCGTCGAGCGTGGCTCCTATGTATCATTCGGTGCACAACTTCAACAGCGAGAGAGCGCTGAGCCTCCTTGCCCTCTGACGGCGCAAAGCGTAAGTCAAGGGAGTACGTCACAGCTTCATTGAGGAGGCCACTATGCGTAATACTACTGAATGACCAGTGCCGTCTCAACGAATCTATGCGCCCCACAGACTAATAATAAGGAACTTCAAGCTAATTTGTGCAACGTTGACATTATCATTAAAATTTGTTATTGCTTGCCACACTATGTCGAGGTTTGCTTGGCAAATGACGAAATTGTAAATGAAGGCAATTATTTTTTAGTCTACAATATCTAAACGAGTTTAGTTTTTTATTTATACCGTTGTTCTAGATCAAAAGCATAGACCACGACATATCTTAACGAAATAAATTTAATGGACTCTTTGCACTGATTTGCCCAGAGATCCACAATTTTGTTAAGACGACGATTATTTAATAATAATAGATTACCTTAATAGTAATAGAACCTTTTGATAATTTGTATATACACAATTTTCGAGTTTTGGAAACATATTCAGGTTGAACTTACTTCTTCTCTGCCGCGTTTCATGAGTATCCAATTGCAATCCAGCTGATTATCTGCCTGAACGTGATACCTTCCGTCAGTCCAAAATACAGCCTTGTCCAGTGTGATAACAGCTTCTCCAGCACTTCCGTAGAACCCAGTGATAAATTCTCTTCTCATGTCTCGAGGATCCAACGATTCGCTCTGACGATATATATCTCAATTTAATAGTACATTCATATGTAAGATGTCAAGGGTTTAAATTCACCACGCTCTGGGATCGCGAAGCATGAGTGGTTCAAAACGAAAGAGGGAAGGCAAAAAATGAGGAAAAAAATGTCCCGTCTACGGAAAATCATTAAGTATGGTATAGCAGGTGGTGGTTCTCGATTAGTTAGTTTAGTTAGTTAGATTTTCAATCTCTCCAAGTCTTGCGTGTGCGCGAAGTCTGTAAATTGTATTCGAAATTTTATCCAGCTCCTCCTCCCTGGATACGGCCATGTCGCTAAGCTTTAATCGAGATGGAGCAGCACTCGTGATTAGAAAACACTGCGATTAAATTAGTTCGTTTAGACAAACACAAAAACTCAATACGTGACAAGCTTGAGAAATTTGCAAACGCGATGTCTTACGCGCATTATACCTCCAATGGGCTCTCTCGGCCATGACTAACGTAGTTCACTGTCTGAAATGTTAAGTGTACAGCGTCCATAAATCGATGTACGAATGTTTCGTGCGACAACATTTCTTTCCATGCTACACTTTCGATTTTCTTAGCAATTAGAAATTAGATTTATTCGATTGTTTTGCCGAGTGCAATAATTACATACTTTATTTATACATATAGCAGATGAGAATCGATGTGATTATTATATACTGTGTCCATGGTATTAAAAGCATAGAATTTTAATTTGAAAATGTAATTACCTGATGCGCGTCATCCGAAGTGACAATATATCCGTCGAGAACTTCTCCTTTGACCGAAGTGGTGCGACGCATTTCTGATCTTAATTGTCTCAATCTTATCGAAGTGTTTTGCCTATCGGGGGGCTGTTCGTAATCCTTCGCGGGGCAGTAAGATCTTTTCGCCCCTTTGTAGTTCATGAGCGGCTCCTTAACTTCACCTTGGAGGAGGTACGCATTCGTCAAACCTGAGCATAAGTATAAATGTTATTACATCTGGAAAAATAGACAGCATTTGAAATACAGTTAGTTTGTTGCAATGGAATATAATATTTACACATTCGTCGTATTTTATATATGAAAGATTAAATACAGGTTTCATATTATTGTATGTATGAAAAAATATGTTTTTATATTTTCAATATAATAATAGTGAATATGCTTGAAAGTGTGAAGTGTTACAAATTAACATCTTGAGAGATATTGACACAATTGCTTTTGCTGTACGTTTGTTTTTATGTCATAATTATTATTACTTATGATCGCAATACCTTTTAGAATTAATTCGTGAACCACATTAAAGTGACACAGCATATTTGTATGTTAAATGCGATTTTGAGATAAAAATTGCTTTGGTTTGCATGTACTCGATTAGAACACAAAGAAAGTGCATTTAAGATTCGTCCCTCGAGAGATTAACTGCATTTGTGGCACTGATAAACTAATGTTTCGTTATATTATGTTTATTGTATTAAAAATATTTATTACTTTTCGCTGTTTAATGTACAAAAAAATATTTTAAAATAAAAAAATAAACAGTTAAAATTTTTGGAGGCGCCGGGTATCGATCCCGGTACCTCTCGCATGCTAAGCGAGCGCTCTACCATCTGAGCTACGCCCCCAGTTGGAAACTACGTTCAAAAATACATTTATTTATTAGCTTCTTATAAATAACTCGTTTGGTATGAAGCATCCCTATTTATTTTATTTTAACACCTTCATTTTAGGAGACCTTAGGTATTTTTTTTCTTTCTTTATACACCATTGTCTAATATTAGATTTATACTTAATACTCTTAAGTGACTATTTACATTATAATTTACACCTCCAACATGGTAATCATATATTGTAAACTTTCATAAAATATAATCTATATGCCTCCCTTAGCTCGTCACACTTATTTCTGTTTCTTGTCTATATTTTTTTATTGTTCCATCATAATCTTAATTTTTGATTACATTGCTTCATCATGTCCTGTGTGAATCCTGAATCCAGACTGATTGATTGATTTATTTTTTAAATGCGGAACTAATTAAAATAGTTATGACACTCATATTTCTTCTTATCCTAGATATAAACATGCCTCGCAAACTATCGATATAATACTGTACCTTTAATATTACGAATCCTGTTTCAAAGTCACACACTCTCTCGCATTCCATATACATATATATATATCCATATAACCACTTGTAAATACATATATATAAATACATATTCATTCTTTAATAGAATTTTGTTCACAGCACAAAATTTGTATCTTATCTCTCTAGCTGATTGACGGCGTTTCTTAATTGCACTTATATCTCAACTTCGTCATATCTGTGGCTGGCCACTTCAACATTGAATGCATGCTTGTATTGTTTTATTTCAGGTTAAAACTGTCGTTATACTTTCCTCACTGATGCTGTATTATTTACACTTTACCGCACTGGAGTACAGATATATGTTATCTCATAAAAGATTGTCCTTAAACCTGAATCCAGAGGGTGTGCTGAGTGGTGCTCATACACCAGGAAAGCAGATATCTCAAAGAGGTGAACCGACTGAAATTTGCGTTTCGATCGGTTCGAATATTGACCCTAAACGTTTCACGCGATTCCCGCCAATTTCCACGCGGGAACGTCCGCGAGACCGTCGCGTTATGCTTCTCCGCGAAGTTTCCCACTTTGTTGCTATAGTTTACAAAATACTTACATCACCTCCGCCGTTAACTATACGGAAAATCGATACACAGCGACGAATAAGCCGAGAACGGGCATTTTGCAGGGACTGTATCGCGTATCCAGGGTAACCGGGTCATCGAATTGTTTAATTTAATAATTTAACGTAAATATCAAGTAATATTAAATATGTTACTAGGGTAGTAGGAACGCGTCGAAGCCGTGTATTACTCTGTTGTAACTTTACAATTTTCACCGTGCAAGTTTTCCGTCCCTACACTCCTGTAAACGTCACAGGACGTCGCGCTTTTCCTTCGTCGTTTCCCTTGCGGATCATGTATGGATGTCTCTCAGACGTTTTCCTTCCTTTCGTGCCTACCTCGCATTCTTTCATCACGACAGAGAATTCGAGAAGTGAATTTCCATTTTGCATAGGAAGTAGGTTTTCGTAAATTTCAAACATTAGTGCGAGAATTTTACTTCGTTTGGCTCTTGTGAAAATTACTTCTGGAGAACCTATCACTAATTACTATTGAATTATGCAACGAAGATCGATGTAGCCCTAACAAATTGTACAGCGTTACTTTTAACAATGGCCATCATCTTCACCAATCATTATCAACGTCAATAATGCCCGAGGCAATCATAAATATGGAATCGTCTCGAAAATTGTCCAAAACAGCGGTCATATGATCTAGAACAGTGCTTCTCAATCTTTTTAATCTCATGGAGTCCTTCTGGACTTTACTTATCCCTCATCACTCTGCTTATTACTATTATTATTTACATTATCATTATTATTTCTGTGCGTCCTATTTATTACGATTCAACATAGCCATTGCTCAATAGAATTCTTAAAAAATTCTTCCACAATTTTCATTCATTGTCCCGTAGTAACCAATATGGCTGCTATCGAGGATCCCTGATCCAGAATATTTCAGGCTTGATTCGAGCTAGTTTCGCTACCCCGATGCTCGTCGTGATCATGCATGCGTGTCTAATGGCAGCCCTGAGTAATGCACAATAATTCGATTTAATCGCGAAAACATTTAGCCTGACGTTCGAGTTTGCTGGTTGCTTTGTTTAATAATTCCGGAAACATTTTCTTCGAGTCACGATGGGGATAATTCGATCGTAGGTCGGGATAACGTCAGGATATCCGATACTTAGTTATCCGAAAATCATTTTCATGTATTATTGCAAGCCACGAATACAAATTTGTCCCGTGGATAATCCATGGGCTACGCGGATCACGCTCGCGCTCGATTACGTAATCTATTCTTTCCAGAGGTTGTTGTTCAGAGCGTCGACGATTGATTTCGCGCTATTCTCCTCTATAAAAGCATCGCTGTAAGCGTCGACCAAGGACTCGCGAGTCAGAAACATCGACATGTGGATGAATAAGTGGGTGCTTTTTTGTTTCGTGCTCGCCTGGGTGCATGCGGAACAGGACGTGCAATTGGAGATCCCTCAGGGGATCCTGAAGGGCCTGAAAACGGAGACTATTCTCCGTAATAAACCCTACTACATTTTCAAGGGAATACCTTACGCGAAACCAAATGTTGGCCCCAACAAGTTTAGAGTAAGTAGAGATAAATGCGAGCATTAGATGAGAGTGAAGAATTCAGTTGTGATAGTCACTAGTAGGAGATAATTCATGGATCGATAATGATCAGTTGCTCTTGATATGTAACTTTAGTTTTGACAAGGCAACATCATGAATTTTTAGAAAGCAAGTAGAATTTTCATGAATTTTTAGAAAGCAATAGAAGGGCTAAGTGCAAAGATTTGAGAGATTAAGAATCTAACTCTAGAAAATGGTAAGGGGTCGTTTCTTAATTACTTAAGGACTATTTGGGCTATTTTTTACCCCCATCCCCCTCACGTAACGACACGTAAGATTTCACAGACATCCCTTCTTAAGACTTCATCTAGTTTCCCTCAAAAAGAGTTAAATAGTTAAATGTCGTTAGAAAAGATTCTATTAAACACGTTATTTATTATTCGAAATTAATTTAAAGATTTTTCGACTCGTAGTAAAATATTACGTAAGAATGGCTTTGCCTCGGTATTAATATCTCGCGGATCCTCTACATGCAACTCCTAATGTTACGTAATCTAGAACATTACTTTGATATATCTTTAATTTGTGTTGATATTTGCTTTCACGTACTATAATTAGGCTTGTAGTACTCGGATGAGAAACATGAGTCGTCGTCATGCGACAGAGTTAGTTTACAACACTAATTACAAAATTAATTTAAATCACACTTCACAGAGATATTAATATTTTTGAACGCACCATTTTGATTAGAAAAATTGTAAATACTGATGACTTAAACATCCCGTTCGCTATGAATTATTTGTACGATTCGTAGATATCAGAGCCTGCTGATCCTTGGGAAGGCGTTTACGACGCAACCCAACATCGTTCGACGTGTCCGTTTTATTGTATGATTAAAAAGGGCCTTATCGGCGATGAGGACTGTCTGTATCTCAACGTTTACACTCCCGCCCTCGATAAAGAAGCTCGTAAAGCCGTTATGGTATGGTTCCACCCCGGTGGGTTTAATTCTGGCATGGCTGATGATGCACTTTTTGGACCAGACTTCTTGCTCGAGAACGATGTGGTAGTTGTTACTGTAAATTACAGGCTTGGCGCACTTGGTAAATAATCTGACTAAATAATAAAATCCTATCAACCCTCTATTACATAATTGGTGTATATATCTATTCATTACTTAGCAGGAATCTCTCGTAGATAATTCATCGAATTGTTTGAAAAATTCTTAGTTAATCATTCTAACTCTTTCATATGTTTACTTTCGTATTTCAGGCTTCTTGAACACTGGGGACAAGAGTGCTCCCGGGAATGCTGGCATGAAAGACCAGGTTATGGCGCTCAAATGGGTGAAAGATAACATTCACTTTTTCGGTGGTTGCCCAAACAGAGTGACTATCTTCGGTCAAAGTTCTGGAGCAGCTTGCGTTCAATTCCACATGCTGTCCCCCATGTCTGAAGGTGACGCAGAACCACTCCAATCGCTAGATTCGTAAATAGACCGTGGATTTTCATGCATTTACGGCAAATGAAAATATAAGGAAATCCATGAAGATTTATCCATGTTAGATTTATCAGTAGACTGTGGAATTTGATGCATTAATGGCAAATAAAAATATGAAGAAATCTATGAAAATGTGTATAAATACAAAAGTATACAAAATATGAAAGATAATATACATGTTACACTACTTAGAATATACTATATTCAATACAGAACTAGCTTTTATATAAGCTTAACTTCTTTTTCTGGGTCTATGAAAATACGAATTTTGCATAAACATTTGCTGTCTATTTACGAGGATGTGAGATGCATGGTCTTGACATTAAAAGCTTCTTCAATTAAATGAATTTTTAGCCACTTCTCTGTGTTCACAATCTATTACGATTTTGACTTTCACCGTGTTGTTCACCGTGTTGTTTCATTAGGTTTATTCAGCGGCGCCATTCAGGAAAGCGGAAGTGCGATCAATCCGTGGGCGATGTCGTATAATCCAAGAGATCAAGCTTTCATGTTAGGAGAGGCTCTTGGGATACACACCACAGATTCAGCTGAATTGGTCGAGAAATTAACAGAGTTCCACGTTAAAGACATCATCGCAGCCTCTAATCAAATAATGACTAATCAGGTGAAGTGTCTCGATAACATAATGCACAGGTATTTAAATACACAACGAGAGTGATCATTTTAATTCTTGCTCTGTTACAGAACACTCTGAATGGGAACATGTTCGCTTTCGTTCCATCGGTCGAAGTTGACCTAGGGCAGGATATATTTTTATCAAACGATCCATGGACGCTGTTGAAGTCTGGAAAAATTGCTGACGTGCCATTGATGGCTGGAGTCGTTGCTGAGGAAGCTCTGTTCTATGGCCAACGTATGTAACGCAACAATCAAAGACAGGAACGAGTCTTTTAAGAAACACTCAATGATGGTTTTCTTTCACCCTTTGCACTCGAGAGTCAGTCACCGCTAGGTTTCCTATAGGTTCAATTTCTTTGGAACTTGAAGTGTCAATAAAATGATTGAGGCAAAGGTTACCTGATTTTCAAATCTCAAATTAGAGATCTCATTTTCGAAGTCAATCTAAGCTTAGCATTCGTGACGATAGAATGCTAAGAAAGCATCTCGAGTTGCTGATAGATACCAAAAAAAAGGCCTCGAGTGCAAAGGGTTAATAATTATGAATATTTAAACATGAAACTTTGAACACTCAAATCAAGCCTATCGAAGTAATCAAAAACAAGCGAAAAAGTATGTCAATTTTCTTATAACGGTTAATAAACACGATATGAATTTTACAGAGATGTTAGACGCCATTGATATGTTAAACACCGAGCCAGAATTATTCGTGCCACTGGATCTGAATTACACCGACTCGAACTCGAGAAGGGAATCTGGCGAGTGTTTGAGAAGATTTTATTTCGGAGACAAACATGTATCGAAGGAGAATATAAACGAATACACTAAGGTAAATCAGTTCTTCGATGGTTGATATCACTCTGAATTAATTTTGTTTACTTGTGACAGATGTTAAGCGACGTTTTGTTCAATGCTGGTGAAATTCTGTCACTTGATATTTTAAGGAATCGACTTTCAGCCCCGATTTATGAATACATGTTTAACTATGAGGGACCATTTGGTTTCATGAAGAGCTTGTTTGGCATCAGTGATGGTGAGCTAGATTAAATTATAACGTTTGGAAAATTGGAGTGGATTATGATTTTCATAACACTGTTTCACTTCGATTAGATACATTGTACAATTCATATTATAATAGATATTGGTGGTAGCAACATTTGAAAATTTATTAAAATATCTGTCTGTTTATACCGATCAGGAATTGCACATGGCGACGAATTGAGTTACTTGTTCTACTCGAACGCCTTTAAAAATCTACCTGAACCAGGTTCCTCCGCGGAGAAGATGACAAACATTATGACTAAATTATGGACGAATTTCGCCAAAGACAGGTCGGTTATAATTGTCAACACTGTTTAGCATTAAATATTAAATTACAATTTAATACTTATTTTAATAACAGTTTTTAAACATTCTCTTATTAGTAAGCAAGCTAAACATTTTCTATAGGCTAACAATAGATCGTTTTCTTTTTCAGAAATCCAACTTCGAATATGGACGACGACATAACAGTCAGTTGGGAACCAAGAGGAACCGACAACAATTACTTGATCATTAACCAGGAATTAAAGATGGAGAAGAATCTAATGGCAGACAGATCTGACTATTGGAAAAGGAAATATAAAGACGTGCTTCCATGAGCTTTTCTACGTGTAATATAAGTACCATTGTTCAAAATTCGGTAGAAGTAATTGAATCGCAACTATAACGATTATAATCACATAAAAACATTATAGAATGCAACTGCATTAAAAAATGTACTCTATCCCTTCTTCCTCGTTAAATTCATTGATTACCATTCTACTCGCGTTCTTCTCGTCTCGCTTCGTCCTCGGCTATTGGTTCACCACTCGCATTCCTATCCCGTGTGTACCAGGATTGCATGAGTACGCAGAAACAAGTTTTACCTATATGGACCAACGACGCGACAGAGTTCAACGCGGCACAAGCCTCGAAGAGGCGAAAGAAGAGGAAACGAGCACCCGCCATCTTAACGAGACCGTGAAGTGACCAACGCGATTCGTTTCCTTTCTTCTAGTCGTTACCACGTTGCCATCGCGGCGTCGTTGATCTACAATTTGTTCACCACTCACTTTTGTGCTTCGTTTATATCAGGCTACCAGAAACGCGAGGATGCTCTACTGAGAACCACGTGCTTGCGCAGTATCAACCGCTTTCGTTTTCATTCGGGCGCCACGTGATCGGTGTTAGATATGTAGAATCATTTTGTAACATTCGTGTACTTACCAAGGAATGATTGCAATCGTTAAAATAGTTAGGAATATTAATTACTTTGCGGTAATACAGTGCAAAATAGAGATAGGCAGAGTTTTGGTCGAATATGTTTGCTTCAATGTTTTTTAGAAGCCTGTTGAAGGTAAATGATTCGTCGCTGAGTTGGTATTTTTCTTCCATTTGGGAAAAATCTTCAGTAAATGTTCCTTGGTTGAGAGAGAAGGGGAGTATGTAAAATTATTACTCACTAAAACCCTAGGGATCACCATCCTTATTTTCGACCACTTTGTAAATTTCACACTGTAAATTTTGGAAGAAAAATTGAGCCGTTCATTGCACAAATCGATTAACTTTCATAAAACAAAAAGTTGAGAAATGCGATGAAATAATGTACATGTGATTTGTTCAGTGACCAGTTCAATTGTCTCACTGGAAGTTATTTCGAACGCGAATTACCTTCGATACTTTTTCAGGATGAAAATAAAAAGGTTGCAATTACTTATTAACAATTAAATATTATTAAACAGTATCTTCGGTTTAAACTAGAACTTTAGGCGACTTCAGCGCCATAGGTCGGCTATCCTTGAAAAGAAAGCTACTCTTGTGGCGGTCGGAAAAACGCGCAGTTCAGTTGTCGATAGGCGGTTGACGAGTGTAGGTCGATACTTGTAACGGCTGTAACCTCTTGAGGGACGAATTCTAACTTCCACGTTTCTTACAACAAAAATGTTCTACAGTTCATTTTATTTCATGTATAATAACAATACAGAGTCTACAGAGATTATGTGCTGTCTTACATTAATACATGTTTTTTTATTTTTAATTCTAAAAGGTACTGTGATCGCAAATAATGTTAACATCGATACAAAAGCAACCGTTTCACGTATGAGCCAATATCTCTCAAGAAGTTAAGACTCCTCGAAGCGTCTTGCATTGTAATTATCTAAAAATTTTAAAGTGTGATGAAGAACATGTTTTTTTTATTGGTGACTAGTGGCCTCGTGCAGTTTTGATTTCGTCTTCAGTGGGTGATCAAATTATTGTGAACACTTCCAAAAGTCACATATTGCGTATGAAGAAAAGCAGAACAAATATTTCTATCGCATGTGAAACAATCACACGCTCACAGCGTAGGAAAGCTTCTCAAGATCGCTGAATTAATCACACGATTGATGGATTTTGATGCCAAAGAAACGAAATTTAAAAACATGTATAAATACATAAAATTCTAGACATTATAAACAGAATATAGAAACACGAAATAATGAGCAGCATTTGCCTATCGACGATATTCCACTGTTCCGAAGAAATGAACGACGAGACACGTGAAAGGAAACAGTTTGATTCTCTTCAGGAGGTCGACGGATCAGGAGCGAAACGTTTAAGGTTTCTCGCAATGTTTTATACCGCCGTTACCTGCATTATCAATATTAATTGCTTAAATAATCGATTCATTGAATAGCAATGTCATTGTTACTATTATCAGTATCGATTCCTCGCGTTTTTATCGCGTATTACCGTACCGACGTTCTACGTAATATCTAGATACAAGAAGAGAAAAACTGTCGTATCGCTTAAATTTACCCGCCACTTGTTACTTGACTTCGCAGTAAGATGTCGGGCAATAAAATGATCTCAAGGCACGGGGGGGAGAGATGATCGAGATGCTGTGACAGTGAACCGTTTCTCGAGATGATCTTCAACATCTTCGGACCAGGCTCGCATGAAAGGACAGCTGGTAGTTTCATCTTACGAGTTGTTAGATCTCTGGACCAGTTAGACTGCTCACGCCACTTCTCTTTCATTCATCCCTACCACCGCTCTGTCGAGTGGATTGAAGTATGTATATACCAGAGTTGGGCGCCATTCGTACGCCTTACTCCTTACTATTCAATTATTCTTCGAATAAAAGTTTACACGTTTATTATACATTTCTTATACACTTCTTATCTTTTTGTTGCTTGACAATTCATCTCTGTGGGGGTCCACTGACCTCCCATTAACTCGGATACCTCGGCGATGCTAAGCCCGTACTGTAGCTTACAAAAACACTGCTACAACCCCTGAGGGCTCGTACGTCTGGGCTACGTGACGAGATGATGTTCAGTTTCTTCCTAACAGGTTCTCATGACGTCGACTTGCTCTCTTTCATCTCTTCCGACTGGACCACTTTTTCCACTGGATCGCTCTTCTATCATTTTCCTCATTCACGTCTCGCTTGCCAGATGCGTGTATCAGGCGTCTTCGTTGTACCGTCCCGTCCAAGGAGATGGTTTCTGGATGTCGTTGTCTCTTACGGACTCGTCAGAGTCGATATCTCGTCGGCAGTCGAAAGAAGGAATGCCGGATCAGCGGCTCATGTCGTCGAGAAAGTAGTCGTGTGCTCGAAAAATGTTTGGTTATCCCCTTTGTTCGGCTAGCAGGGATGTATATTGGTTTTGCGGTCAAACGGGCTTCGATTTGGGATGGCTCGAGGCTTTTTACAACAGGAGACCAAAAGGGGAACCTGGGTGCTCCTCGAGGGTGGTTTTACAGCAGCAATGTTTTCTGCAAGCTTCGATATCGTTACTATGCATCGATAGAAGGAAATGGGGTATACTAAATCAGTGTCTCATCGTGTGCTATGTATTACTGGAGAGATTCAGTTTACTTCGTGGATACAGACCGTAGTGATTTTTAGAAGGACTATAAATAGATTCGAAACAGTTTTATAATTGTTGAACTTCAAGTACGGGACTGGATCCTTTAGGAATCTTTTGAAAGAAAATATTCGTGGCTATTTGGTAGGCGACAGTTTTATGGCAGGGTCAGGACTCTCGAGCGGACTCTCGAAAGCCAGGCGCCTCCACGGGCGGTCGAAGAGGCTTAATGACTGTGTCAGGCGGCCATCGAGTGCCGCAGGCCTGGTTGTTTACAACAGACCTTGATGTCTCGATTGCCAGGTAACTCGAGGTTCCACTACCTAGAAGAAAAGAGACATTGTCCTGAAGTTGGAGGTTAAGGCCTACATGATGGTTAAGGCCTTGCCTTCTTAATAAGAGGACTCCGAGGAAGAGTAGGACACCCAGCCCAGTATCACCAAGTGAGAGTGATTTCTAAATGTCAAATATCAGACTTTTACCTACGTATAACATATACGCTTAATTTTTAACAATCATCTCGTCTCTCAATTTTCCCTCATATATTCTTTACACCTCTGCAAATATGCAAATAATTTTCCCATTAATCGAAGTTAGCAATCGACGCAGAATTAACAGTGACACGAAAAAAAAGAAATCGGTGACCACGAATGGAGCGACAGGCGCGTCGAAACGCATCGCGAGGGCGTCGCGAATCGGAACGCGGGGGCGGATGTGCACGCGGAGATATGCGCGCGACGGGGGTGGCGCGCTGGCGCTGTCAGCCATCATCGGCAGAGATCGATAACCCTGGATCGGTGTGCGTGCACACGTTCGACGACCGCCCAAGGAAATGCGAAAAAAAAGGGATCGAAGAAAAAACGAAGAAGGGTGTGGTGTCAGGGGTAAAAAGACATCATAAATCGCGCGGGACCGAATCCGCGACACCGCCTCGCGAACCCCCTTGTTCGCCATACGATCCTGGCCGCAGTGAGACGGACGGTTGCTTAAGTGGCCGAACCCGGGGCTCTCCAAGGTCTCCCCGCCCTGTGTCTCCAGGCGATTCGTCCATTGAAAGTACGCCCGGAGAAAAAGATGCTGCGGAGGTTTTTATCGGCTCCTTTCGAGGGACGAAGCGTCGCCGGTGCCCGCCACCCTGCCAGGCGAGCATGCAACGACGGAGGTAGTTTACTGTCACAAGTCGCTGGAGGGGCATCTGCGTCCACGCTGCGCTTCGATTGGGAGGGTGAACTCGACCCTGTCCGGGGGATGTTTCGCAGTTGCGCCGTGACGCCGCGTTCGATGTTTGCGTAAACATGGCCCCTTCATTGAGGGTGGGTAATGGAGAAAGTGGATTCGTGGAGAGTAGGAAGTAGCTTCGAAGGAGGTTTTTCATTTTAGATGGTGAATCTATAGCGAGAAAATTCATGAACTGGAGGCATTAGGTTTCTTTTGTAGGTGTTGGTTTATGTTTCAAGAAATTAATTTGGATATTCTATGGACGAGAGAACTTCATGTATATTGTGGTTTGAACAGGAAAGTTTTATTAGCGACTTTGATCGACACTAAAACTACCAACGTTCGGGTTATAGTTCTCACGCACAATTGCACGTTACTATATGTTTGAAAGTAGAGAATGAAGAGTAGGAGAGGAGAGGAGAGTAATTCAAAACATGTTAGCGCTTTCCCATCCCTCTGGTTCGTTGCCAAGTTCATTGCATTTTAGTACTCTGTAAACTAGGGTCATTCGTGATTGGGCGAATTTGAAAAGTAGAGGTACCTCATAAACTAATTGGAAGAGACCCCCTGGTATTTTATGTCATTCTTAAAATGTTTCGTTCTAAACTAAAGGTTTGAAAAAAGACATTTGCACAATGAAAAGGCTGGAATGAATGTCCCTCGTTTAGAGTTT